TACGTCCCGAGGGAGGGGAGCCTGGGCACAGCCAGGGGACGTGGAGGCAAGTAGTGGGAACGCGTTTTTGCTTGAATGTAGATATATGACCCTCCCCCCCTCATCCCTCTTCTTTCGCACCAGTTTCCCAAGTCAGAGATATCTGTATCATTGAACAAGCACCCATTTCCGGCAACTCGAGTACAATTACCACAGTCGTACTCGTTCTTCACCGGACATCCTCCACCAGTTCCCGTCGTCTCAAGGAACCCAACCATCGAAACACCCAACCACTTATATACCAGCACACAACAACAGCAACCATGCTGTGCATCTTGCCAGACGAGCTCCTGCTCATCACAGGCGCAACCGGCCATATTGGCTTCTGCGTCCTCCTCCACGCTCTGCGTGCAGGCCACACCGTCCGCTGCGCCGTCCGCTCAGAGGCCAAGGCCGCCTTCATCCGCTCCCGCCCTCAAATCCTCGCCCTCAACCTCCCCCGCGCCCGCCTCAACTTCACAATCGTCCCCGATATCACGGCAGACGGCGCCTACGACGAGGCCATCCGCGGCGTCTCCTACGTTATCCACTCCGCCTCGCCTTTGGCGACAGCTGATTCCGTCCCACCGGAGCAGCACCAGGAGTACTTCATCCAGCCCGCCATGCGCGGCACCCTCGGCATGCTCGAGGCCGCGAGGCGAGCGGGCACCGTCCGCCGCGTCATCATCACCAGCTCCATCGTTGCCCTGACCTCAGTAGCGCAGATGGAGGGCGCCGAGAAGCGTGAGACGGCCGTCCAGCCCACAGAGAGAGCAGGCTTCAAGCCCGAGCCGTACGAGAGCGAGTTCGCCGCCTACGCTGCGAGCAAGGTCGCCGCCCTGCTTGGCGCCGAGGCGTGGCTCGCACGGGAGAAGCCCAACTTCGACGTCGTGCACTTCCACCCGTCCTTCGTCCTCGGCCGCAACGACGTCGCGACCAACACCAATGAGGCGATCAAGGGCACCAACGCCGTCGTCCTCGCCACGCTCCTCGGCAAGAAGTGGGGATGCGCCTTCGCCGGCGCGACCGTCCACGTCGACGACGTCGCCCGCGCACACGTCCAGGCCCTCCTGCCCACCATCCCCGGCAACAGGAGCTACATCCTCAGCACCAAGGCGCGGTGGAACGACGCCAAGCTCATCGCGAAGCGCAGCTTCCCCGAGGCGGTGCAGCGCAAGCTCATCAGCAGCAGCGGCTCCGTGGGCACCACGCCCATCGAGTTCGACGCATCCGCCACCGAGGAGACCTTCGGCTTCAAGCTGCAGGGCTTCGAGGAGCAGATCAGGAGCGTGGTGGGGCACTTCCTGGAGCTGCGGTTCCGCCGCCCGGTGGTCGCGACGGTATCCGGCGAGCTGAAGGAGAAGGCCTCGACTGGTGCATTGAGGTCGGGCATTGTTGCCGCCAACGCATAGGGATTCTAACGGCCGACACACCACACACATTGTTATGATTATGAGGGGAGCATTTTCTTTACTACTTCACGGATACATGGGACGGATTCAGGATTTCGGCGCGTCAAAAGATGATCAATGACAGACCTGCAAAGAATGGGCATGAACAATTTTGGGAGGAGCATTGGAAACCTTGGATACCCAGCGGCAAACTCCGCAACACTTTTTCTTCTCAAGTCTTGTGCATAGTTTTATAGGCATCAATGCCTGCAACGAAAGAGATTGTATAAAAAAATCAAATCAAAGTACAGCACAGATTACACTTTTTCATCTCCTTGGTCTGAGTGCATGCGTTCCTCGTCTGCCTCATCCGCCTCACGATAGACACTTCTTCTCTGGAAATCTAGCGCATTTACATACACGCCCTACGAATCTAGACTCAAGAGCGTGTCAGCCCCGAGATTAAGCAGAGCGACGGACCCTCCTCCGCATTCCTGCAATCCAATCCTCCTGTCCCCCAGCCCAGGCCACGGGTGTTGGGTCGGCTAGGCTAGTTGGTTGGTGCTGTTGGCTGGCACCACGGTCGAAATCGTCCGAGTGGCGATATTTGCTTCACCAGCTGAAAGGAAGAGCGCAGCGCAACACAGTACACAGGGTCGGCAAGCTCTCCCTGCGTTCAGCCTCAATCTCCGAGGTTCGTTGCCGGGTTTTTGGGGGAGGTGGGCAGGAGCAGGCATATGCACGTGGGACGCTGGGAAGACAGGGCGAGCGTTGGGGTGTCTTCCGTGGGCATTTGGCTACGGTACCCCGGTCTGTGGTCTCCAACATTGGCCTTGAGCAGGCAAAACCCTTTATCAGTTTCTGACCGGATTCAGAACCTGTTCGGGCCAGGACGCGGCCTCGTTGGCCCGAATTATTTTGGGGTTGATGCAGAAGGGATGAGGAGGAGGGGGTGTTCCCTGATCTTCTGGGTCGCGAATGTCTTACTGAGAAACAAGATCTCAAATTTTGGCTGGAACGGCTTTTCCGGCGTTGTCTTGGCGGGAGCGCGGCTGAACGACTGGGCAGCTGAGAAGCGGGCATGAAACGGTTCGTCGTCTTCTGGAAGCGGAGGAACTGCGCAGAGCAAGGGGCAACCTGAATGGGACCAAGCAACCCGAATGGATGCATATTCTATTGGAGAGTCGGACGGGCATTTCTCGCGTCCCGCGTGGGAGGGATATGCAGCGCGATGCGCGAACTCGGCCGACGGCTGAAGAACGGCATCGCTGCACCGGGGTAACGATGTCTCCCAGCCAGAACATGGTGCTCGAAGGGAGGCCAGATTGAAAGCGAACGGTCTAGGCTTTTTCCTCTCTCTTCTGCCAACCAAAAAATGCCATGGACGATGGGCCTGGTCCAGACTGGGCTGGCCACGCAGCGAGGAAACCACAGACCGTCCCGACCCTCTGGTTTACCTCGCATGAGCCCTGACGGTGCTCAGATTTGCGCGCCCTGCGTGACATAAGCGTGGAAGACGCGCCGCGCACCAGAACACATCCATGGGCCAGGCTAGGCTTATCTCTCGCCCAAAAGGGGTCCTCCTCCACGTTTTTGCTCCTGCTTGGACGTTGGGCTGAAAGGGGGCACTCTGCACGGATTGGGGGAACGCCTTGATGACGGGAGATTTTAAGCGAGGGGGAGAGCTGGAGGAGGGGAGGAATCTGAGCGTACGGCAGTTGAGGATTGAGATCTTGGGGTACCTTATCCGATGAACACTCGGGTCGTTCAAAATGCTTACGAGAGATGGGGGGATTGCTTGTGTTCCCACGATGACAGGATGAGATGGAGTTGATCAGCAGAGTTGAATAGGCACCCGCGAAAGAAAGAAGATCCTTGGCGCATCCTTCGACCCACAACCGAATCATTATGTCGCCGGAGGTGATGCCCGTTGTCTAACGGCTCTCCGCCTCTTACGGCTTCGTGAGAGCTCGACGAAACGGTTCCTGGCATTGCTCAACGACTCACGGTACATTTCTCAAAGAGGCAAAAAAGAGGCGACGCCTCGCAAGCCACGCGCCCTCGATATCAAACTCTCGTCAGCACCAAGCGCTCCTCTCTCATAAACGCCAACGCTTGCCTGGAAATGGCATCGTCCGACCGCCAAGAACGACTCACGTCTCCTCATCCGCGCCGTTGCTCGGCATCTTCCGGAGAGGTACCCCAGCCCAGAGGCGACCTGGACATCCTCATCGACAGAGACAACCGCGAAGATTGGCACGGCATCGTCCTGCGCGCCCGGAAGCACATGCGCTGCGTCGCCCATCATCCGGACAGATACGCGCTGGTCGAGTACGACCCATCCTGCCCGGAGGGCGTGAACCTACACACCGGCGACAGCAGCAACACCACGGGGCACACAGAGAAAGGGCCTCCTCCGTCGGCGGACGGAGAGGTGGACACGCTAATACCACCGCCGCCGCCGCCCACATTCCACCTCTTCGCCCACCTCCCCAAGGAGCTGGGCGACAAGATCCTGCTCGCGAGCGTGCCCCCCGTGAGAATCGAGGCGTTCGTCAGGGTGGACTTTGAGTGGAACCACGGGCCGCAGGCGCGCTTCTCGCAAGAGACGATCAGGGCCTGGCGCGACGTGGTGCTGTACGCCGTCAGCGCGGAGACGCGGCGGCTGGCGTGCGCTGCGTTCGGGGTGCCTGATCCGCTGGGGTTCCCGTTCAGCCCCGCGAGGGACGCGGTGTGGTTGCTCTGGGACGGCGGCAGGATGTGGGCCGGGCACAGGTTCTTGAAGGACTGTAGGGAGGCCGGGGCGGTGGTGCAGCGCGGGTCCCGGGAGTGGGTTATGCCGGAGGGGTTGAGGGGCAGGGTCGCGGAGGTTGTGGTGGAGGGGGGGATGTATGGGTTCTTTGATGGCGGGAGGAAGGGCGCGTGGAGGTATGTGTTTGGGCTTTTGAAGGAGTTTGCGGGGTTGAGGGTGCTGACGGTTGAGATGTGGGATTTGGGTGATGGGGGGTTTGAGGGGGTGTATGATGGGGAGAAGGAGGAGGTGTATAGGGTTGATCAGCTTGATTTGTTTGACGAGCTGGAGGGGATGAGTGAGGATGGGGTGGTGCCATTTCCTGGGCTGAGAGTGTTGAGGGTTAAAGCTGTCCTACCGACAGCCAAGCAGACTCGTGTGCGGCTGAGATTTCGAAAGGTAAATGGGAGTCATTTCGTCGTAGTCAGCAAGGACGACTTGCCGGCTACCAGAGTGTGATCGTCCATTACCCTTGCCACCATGCTAGTATGATTATATAGCCCCCGATTGACCTTTCGGAAAGAATTGTAACCGGAGCATTCTCCATTCAAGACGAGTGTTGATCTCGATATCGCAACCCTGGGCAATATATGACGATATGCCGGTATTGAGTAAACCAATACTACTTAGGTCGGAACAATGCCAGTGTCAGTCAGACAAACATAGCTCCACATATAAGTTCTATGTTCCGTGAATCGTTTCTTATTCAAGATCTTTTGCATCGATTACTACTAGCCTGGTCTCTAAGATGTTTTTCGCACTAGCTCCCAACTCGATCAACGACGTATCAATCAGATGTCTTAAATGAGGGTGATGATTTTGTGCTCCATCTTGCCCAGCGCCATGATGACCTCTACGTCACTAATATATTCGTTATCTAGTCCAAATATTCCGATCCTCTTGCACAAGCCTTTCGCAGTGGCACGTTCTACCACGATGCATTCAATGTCGCATCGGGTTCCAAATCTGTAGGCCTGGCTAAAAAGAAAAAAGTCAATCGTCCCTTCCCCTATGAGACTTTGCTCGTCCTGTGTGTTTGGTCTCCAAATGGGTCTTAGTAGAAACCGAGCATGACGTTGCCTGATCTCAAGGCAGAGTGGTTCCCTCTTGCTGGCCCGAGAGTAAGAGGCGGTGAAAAAGGGGCAGCTGAGTTTGATAAATCCATCGAAGACATCAACCATAGATTCAGGATCTTTTGTTGTGACATGCACATCAATGATCCTAGCGAAGAACTGAACCGTCTCAGATGTAGAGGATGTGAATCTCGTCTCACCATCAATGGATGCCCAAGACCATGATGGCGCCCTGTATCGCTTGGAAACTCTCGGGACAGGGCATTGCACAAACCAAGCAAGTTGATACAGCAATCCCTCCTTCCATACACCGGCAAGATAATGATAACCGGTTGTCTCCTGAAAAAGCTTTGCTATGCCGGCGAATGCATACAGACGGTCTTCAGGGTGCGTGAGTTCGCAACGTGAAAACTCTTCAGCCAAAGACAACCATGTTGCGATTGACGCACTAGGCCCAGAAATGCCGTCCTGAGAGACTTCTTCATTTTCTTTGAAAGCCTTTGACGTAGCTAGTTTCCGTGGCTCAAAATCCGGTATTCCTTCAGGAAATGCCTCACATCCGTGGGTCTCGCTGCATTCCCACAGAACCTGGGTTTTTGCGAAGTATAGTACGCGCGGGGCGAGAAAACACTCTTGAAAAACCCAGCCACGCTCATGAAGACCGCCGTGCATGAGCTGTGTTTCCCAGTAACCGCATGAAAGCATGAAGTGCTTTTCCATTGACCCGCTTGAGAGAGTTGATTTCACCGTCCAAGGGCGGATTTTCTTGGGGTCTCGCTCGCGAAAAAGCCCGCCATCGGGATCCCTCGAAGCGGACGCAGCGATATTGCACAATGAATTGGCGTAAACGTCCCGCATCATGGGAGCTTCCGCTTCCCAGTCGGTGTCTGAATTTTGAATAATACATAAACAATCGATCCAAAGATATCGGACTCCGAAGTGGCGAGCAACGACGACGGCGTCTCGAAATGTCAAAGGTAGCTGTTCAATAGGATTTCCAAACTGGAAAGACTCCAAGTTAGATGATAGAAGAAGAAGCTGAGGGTGAAGGCTCCAACGATAGCGTAGAGTCATGTACGATTGGGCCGTGTCTGTCGTTTCTTCTGCAGTTTCAATCAGCCTCCATTGGTGGTCGCCCTCAAACCCTATGTCGACAAGTCGAGTAGGTAGCCATTTCGACGTTGACGACCCCAAAGATACGCATTCATCGTGGGTGGAAAGACAGCGTTGGACGAACGCAAAAGCCAGATCCAGAGTAGAGATTGACGAGCTGCATGCCTCGATTGGAGGGAGAAGATTTGTGCCCCTCCCTTGGTCTGAAAGTGTCAGATCGCGAGGTCTTTGGTGGAGTAAAAGCCTCACAGCTGAAAACTGGAACATACCTTTCAACGGAAACAACCAGAAAATATCGCTCCAGCCAGATGTTGTAATTTCCAAAGCCCGGAACCGCTTTTTTGGCGATTTCTGGTGCAAGTCGAAATTTGGCCCTGTCCAGGAGTTTTTGTCTGGACCTTCGCACGTATCATCGCGAGTGAACAAGAACCATGCATGGGAGCCGAGAACACACCCCTCTGATACAGCATCGCAAAATGCCTCGAAACTCTGGTACTCCACTTCATCCATGTCTACCACGCCGTCTGTCGCCTGAAGAACCTGCCGGCATGTTGAGCACATCGGGTCCAAAGCGAGCTCCCCTTTCGCATCCATGTCCGTCAAAAGTTGGAGTCGAGATGTTGTGGCCAACGATTCTCGCTAATGGTTTGACTGATTGCAAAGACAACGTGGGAGTAGGCCAACTTCCCCGCTTGGATCATGTGGTTCCGGAAGGTACATATATCACTCATTCGGCAGAGCGAATTACAAGCGATATTGCTTACTGCAGGCGTATCTTCAGAACCAATATGAACGGGAACCTGTGCGGAGAGACCGTAAGATAAACTCGGGCTGCACGTCGACCCTTTGTGTTTGCTATTGGACCAACGACATGTCAATGTCTTGGCATGCTAATCTAACCGGAAAATACCTTCTTATTCGACGGCCATCTACAGCAGAGACCAGTACCGAAAGAAAAGATCAAGTGCTGAATGCTTCTGCGAATCCGCGTCGGTTCACAGTCTACTAGGGGCTTCTCGCAGAGCTTAGCCTATTCACAAGCTCCACATGACTGTGTTGTGCGAGAGATTTAAGGATATAAATCACCAACCATCTTCTGTAGTCAAAAGTTTTCTTGTCACCAACAAGGGGGGCAGGAAATGCAGCTGAATTTTAATTGAACTCATCTCGTCCTTCTAATCCAAGAACGTGGGCTGTATGGGACCAAGCTATGGTAAACTGAAACTGATCCACTGATCATGGATAACTGCCTTATTCATATTGCTGTCAGGCTGGAAATCTTGACTATCCAGACAAATGGTATCATACGCTAGCAACGCGCACAACATGGAGAACGACGAAGGTGATGGTAATCTTGACGATAAAGACGATCGAAACCATTCATAATTGTTCTACACTAAAAGTGAAGAAAGTAATGGAATTGATGCAACCGAATAATTATCAATGTAAGCATTACCCTGCCCGAACAGCAAATCTCAAACCGATATCCCCTCCACGTTGAACAGCACGGCCGAGTCTCCAGCGCTGTCGCCCCTGTCGCACACAATAAAAGTCGATTCATGTTTTCCCGACTGCAGCGCAACATTGAAGCTGGAAACTCCACTTGTTATCTTGCAAGACAATCCAAGCTGCGCGTTTGGCACGCCCGGCTTCATTCGCGGATCACGCTTAGCGACCACCACGCTCTCCGGCACCGGGCTATTACCCGATATCAGTAGCTGCGCTGCATCAAGCTGGAATCGACGACCGCTTTGGAATGTGTTAGCGCACCATACCTTGACTTTGACCTAGCGAATATTGACTCACTCTTGCGCAAAGAGATAGTTCACTCGCAAAGCCCGAACTCCAGACTGAGCCGTGATGCTCATGCGAAAGATGTAATGTTCGCACGATGGCGCAACGGGACAAAGTACAGTCCTGTCTTGACCGTAGCCCCATGAGCCACCGAGCGTGATACCGGGAGCCGCTGATGCCGCCTGTCCGGTTGTGAGAATGACACCAGTCTCCAACCCCGCGAGCCCAATTGTAAATGTGCCTACGGCTGACCAAACTGACACCGGGTCGGCGGCTCGCCGTCTCGTGGGGGCAATAAGCGAAGAGTTGATTGGTATCAGTCTACTGTCTTTCACAGCGGAAGCAATTATTGAGTTTTCGATGGCATTGTGGTCGGTTCATCCGGGCGTCACAACAATGTCAATGGCAGTTGATGCCACGGTAAGATACGAATTAGACCTAGGGGCATGATGACCAGCAAAACTGAAAATAATGTAACTAAGATAGAGATATTGCGTGAATTCGATTAGAGAACCGCCGATGAAGAAGGCTTGGTGAGGACCTATGAATGATCTGTTGGCGATCAGTCTTTTCCTGAGCTGAACTCTGGCAGCTGCAGGTTTTCTGGGTAGATGGTCCGGAATGGCCTCGCGTTTCTAGCTAATTCGCAATTCACTGGTCACAAGACTCTATAAGCGCGAATTTGCATGGAAACGCTCAAGAAGTTCATGCAGCCGGAGGCGCATCGAGATGCATCTTGTCCCATTTCGAGACCGGCGTCTCCCTTGATATGATCATTCCATTTCGCAGCGGCAAAGCTTCCATCATAGAATGAGATAAAGAGAATTGCAGGATACAAGCCTGCAACTCCGTGAATGTCTGCCATTCGACTTTTGGAACTGGAACGGCGACAAGCATGTGGACATTTCGGAACGAACAGAGACCAACACATGATATTTCACTAGCTGAAAAAGCTACCATGTCGCTGAAGTCCGAAGCTTAATGTTCATGCCGTTCTGCGATCGTTCAAGGCACTAATGAACCTAACGTTTCAGCCGCGTCTTGGTCTTGTACAGAGGGCAGTTAGACTACTAGTCCCTGGCATGAGCTGCCCTCTGATGAGTTTTCGACACGCAGACGGCCGTCACATCAACCGATCGAAGCAACGACAAAGCTTAACATCATGACCAACCAGACCCAGCGCCCACCACCAGACGAGTAAATTTATGAAGTTTAATCATTTAATCGGGTCAAGTCAAGAAGCTTAAACTTAAATGATTGCCCTGGGGTGGGCGCTGAGCGGGCCTGCGTTGATGGCATATTGAAGTGGATCGCGAGCCCCTTGACAGCTAAAGCACCCGCATACTCGCTATCCTGGCATTACTTCATGTTGTCAATGTAAACTATTATTACCGCAACTGAGAAATCGGTTTGCGAATTGAAAGGAGGAAACACCTAGACAACAATGGCTGATACAAAAGGGTGCGATGCACGTTTGACCTTTCCCTACAAGTGTAGGCGATATTGCCAGGACCAATGCTTTCTTGCCCCATCAAGCAACGACTCCATGTCCCTTACATACTCTTCCATTCCCGTTCCTGAACCAGCCACGAGGCCGGCCTTGACACTTTGATAGGCCCATGAGCGTGCTTGGTACTCGTACCCCGCGCCATTCCACTCGCGCGCCGCGATGGCGTATGCCTTGCAAAGGTAAGAGTCCAATCCCTCCTGCTTGTATAGGTTGACTAGCAGCTCGGCCATTGCAGTGGGCTCGGCCGGGGCGATTTCGCGAGTTTCTAGGTACCCTTGTAGTAGGTGAATCTCGTTGACGCGGTCGTCAGATAGCTCTGCAAACTTGGAAGGGGCTTGGCAGTGGCTACAAGCGCATTTGAAGCCGAGCGCGTCTGTTGAATAGTGTTGTCGTTCTCGCAGGGTCTGAATGGGGTCGAAGTAGGATATGGTAATCTCCTCGCCAGCGGCGATGTCGCGGACTGCCCACAGCCTGTGTGCGAGCAAGTCCCAGTCCCACTGGGATGCTGCGTTGGAGCGGCAGCTGTGGTTGATTTTCTGCCGTGCTGTCAGTTAATCAAGATTATTGATACGATCCATGCGCCTTGGGAACTCACGGATATGTTTGCGTGGACCGCAATCATGCCGAGGTCCGCTTCATCTTCCAACCCCGGCCAGTCCTCTACGGGTCCGCCGGAGACGCCGTACCCGTTCGTCCAGATCTTCTGTTTCAGGCTCTTCGTGAAAGTTCCGATGTAAAGCTCGTCGACCGTCTGTCGTGTGGCTTTTGGTAGCTTCTCGATAGCCAAGGCCTGAAGTGATGTTCGCACTTCCTCGGACGAGATGTCTTCGGCCCAGTTGCGGTCCAGAAATATGATTGGTGTCTCCTCGGTGATGAGGCTGCCTGCGGGAATGTGTTTGGTTGCGAATATGCCACGGCCTTTGCTTCCGCTCGGTGAGGTTCTGAATAACGATTCATGGGTGAGGCTGAGGTGGTGATCTGACACTGTGGCGATGAATTTGGCGATGTGGAGGATGCGCTCGGGGGTTGTTATCACGGTGATTCCCTTTCCGTTATCCAATTGCGGGTCTGCGAAGATGCAGTATTGCTTTGAGTGGTTGTCTGACCAGATGCATGTGGACCCTTGGTTAGACAAGGTAGTGTTCTGGGGCGTGGAAAGATAGATTTCGGGTCGTCCGTGAGTGAGAAGGCACAGCGCAGTGTCGTTGACATTGAGTACGAGTGTGTTGGCACTGTGACCGCGTATAGGCGTGTAAAGGGTAGACAGATCAAAACAGAACGCTAGTCTAGTGTAGATCAACGCGCTGAGAGCTACCTTTGGATGCATTTTTGGGGGAGATCAAGAGTGGAGGCTAAAAAGATGCTAGGAGCACGATGGCATTGCGTCGTTGGCCTGTGGGAAAGTTGGGAAAGCCTGAGTTCCAGACTCGATTTGAGGAAGGGGAGTAGATATCCCCTCAGAAGTTCGGGATGTTTACGGCCTATTGAATGCTCTCTGCGGGGTTTAGTAAACATACCTTGCGGAACTCTTTTCGATTATCACGTATCCGGACCAAACTCTGCTACACGCCTTCAACAGCTGACTTTCAGTTGAACCTTTCGCATAGCCTCTCGGTTTGTAATTTCCTAATTCAACCTCATAAAAACCGGTAGGAATACCATCGTGGCTAGGGTTTGTTTTTAGGTAGTGAGTAGTTATTTAAACAAAGAACAGCACAGCATCTTCAAAAGAATTTACTCAATAGCCCAAGGCAACACCGGTGATCTTAACTTACTTGCTACACTCGAAATGCGTACCCTCATCCTTCTATTGCTCCCCACGGCGGCTCTTGCACAGAACGCCGGCATGTGCAGCGATTGCTCTCCGCCCAGGGGCCGCAACGGGCACCCGATCATGGCCGTCGGCGGAGTGATGGGCGGTGGGGGATTTGGAGTGCCGATGGCTCCTCCGATGCTGAATCCGGCGCCACCCCTCATGATGGGCATGTTCAGAGGCAGGGGGGGCCGCGGGGGTGGGCGTGGCGGCGGAGGCGGGCGGGGTGGCGGAGGAGATCCGATCATGGAATCGGTTCCGAACAAGAACCGGCCTTCACGCACGCGTCCGAACCGGAAGAATGGGAGACGGGATGTCGAGGAAGAGGAATTTGCGTAAGCCTTTGTGTTTTACGATCTTTCAATGGGAATATGTGCTAACTGGACATGCTTTAGGGGGATCCAGCGCCCCCGGGTTCTCGAGAAAAACGCGATGGAGTGGGATGGTTGATGTCTGGCCCTGAAAGTGGGTGTCTCCTAGGCTCGGCAGTCATCCGTGAATGAACGGAGAAACACCCGAGGCAGCGGAATTGGATGGCTGAGAAATCCTGGAGCGCATAAATTTGTCGGCTTTTAGGACTAGATGCTGTCATTACTCATGGACACTCGCTTTCAATCAGAACATGTCTGAGAAAATTTCCAAGTTCTGTGTTTTGCGTGTGGGCCTCATATCATGAAGCTTTTCAGGCACGTGGGTGTTTCTCACATTCTATGCATTTGCCCCCTAACATAGTCAAATTGGAAGTTGGGCTCTCATATCACATCTTGAAGCAGGAACTGATGTTGCACATTGCAACTCACACTACGCACTATTGAGCTACCATACAAATGATATCCAGCTTCTGTACCCCCCTCAAGTAATGGAAATCGTGAGTGGTACAACGAAGTGTCACCCATCTATGAGAGCATCTGATTGGACGCAGCCCCAGCGCATTTCTTGTAGCGTGGTATACTAGGAGTAGTGGGATGATATCGTATCTGCGGCGATAGCATGCGTTCCATCAACTTTACCAGGCATAGTTCACTCTCATCATTAATCCACGATAATGAACGTTCTGAGAAGGGAGGACTGGAATGATGGCGCCAGTTAGAATTCAGCTGGCTTAACCCCTAAGCCTCAACTCGTCCGTTTCGTGAAGGTCTTTAGTCGCTAGGTCCGTCCGCATTTCATGCGACGGATATGGCTATTCTTTATTCTGGATTCTCGGGGACATTTTCTGCTCGTGGAAGGCTAATGTGGCGTGATCTGAGTGATTCCGATTAATTCCAGTCAACAAAATAACCCGAGAGGTCAGCCAATGCTAGACTAGCTCAAAGATTTACCCGCAGTTCTGTGCCGCCAACGACTATGCGTTTGCCCGACCGAGAGACACAAGCTCAAAATCCTCGCTCCGGATACTCTTCATAGCTAACGTTCAACCATTAGCGTAATGGAAATATCCGGACCATCCCCCTCTCCCGCTACTCAAAAGCTTACTGAAGCGGATCTTGTGGAACTTAGCGAGTATGGCAAGTTTACGAAGCTGCAACTTCGAAGGAAAACGTCCAAGAGCCTTCTTTATCCTTTTCGCATGTCGCGATCATACTGGGCAGTAATCGCTAGTGGAAACCTCATCTCTACGCTACCCTTCCTAAACAGGCGTCCATTGGTCACACAGGAGTGAATTATGAAGTTGTAAACGCCTACAACAACCTTAAAATCGACTCGGAGACCCAGGCTCGGGATTATCTTCCCTGAAACAGCAATCGTTGCTGAACGTCACATGGAGAAGGTTTCTCTAGAACATACGACTTTCTCCAACGTGGCTCTAGGCCCAGTCAACGCATTTCCGAGATTGAACTTTGTCGTCCCAGTTGACGTTTAGAACAACGACGGAAAATGATCCAAGGTGACGACGCACTTACAGGAGAGAACGGGGTCAGAACTAGATCGACAGGGACCCGTCTATATCAGCGGAACTATGTGGCTCTTAGCTGACGGAAAGACGAGCATGAATAACATCTACAGGTACTCTTGGTCCCCTTCTTTTTCATGGGGCAATTCGATTCCGGTACAACTCTCTCCAGCGTCCTATCCATACACAAACCACCAGTAGTACCCCAAACATCCTTAACTCAAGATTTTCTCATATGTCATTGAAATCTATTACGTCGCTAATATTAATTCTACGGGCTATCAGAAAGACGAAAGCCCAGTCTTGGTCCTGCACTTCTCCACAGCACCCCAATATTCACCTTAGGCAGCAGGTTTCCTTCCTACCATGAGGTACATCGGCGTAAACAACTTCTTCTTGCCACCCTCTACGAGCGCATCAGCCGCTTTGCCCAGACTCTCCGCCGTCTTTCTAGTGCCGACCGGAATGACACGGACAGTCTCGAGGACGCTGAAGAAGTTGTGCGCGACCACTCGACCCCACTTGTTCATCCTCAGGACCGTCAGCGCATCCCACAATGTTTGGGCGTAACTCAGGTCACTGTCCAGGGGCCAGTACCATGGCGCCGGGCCGTCGTCGTATGCTGCAAGGTCGTGGTGAAGTTCGAGGTCGAATCCAGCTGCCTTGATCGCGGCGAGGCCATCGGAGATCTTGAACATCTGCGCAATACCGTCGCCCTCTTCGATGTGCAGGCGGATGCGACGGTGTTCGAGGTCGTCGTTGTTGAACTCCTCGGTCATGAGCCACTCGTAGACACCGAACACACCGCCAGGCTTTAGAACGCGGAAGATCTCCTTGTACACGCCTTCTAATGACGGTGCGTGGACCGTGGCTTCGATGGCGTAGACGGCTTCGAAAGAGTTATCAGGGAAGGGGATGTTCTATACGCGAAGTTCCTTCATTAGTATCACTGAACCACTGAGGAGGAGGATGATGAAACCACCTGGGCCATCTCGGTCCAAGCTGCTACGTACCATGAAGTCGCCTTGAACAAAGTCAAGCTTGTGAGACAGGCCCTCCTTGGCAGCATAGTTTGTCGCCCGCTGTACTTGGTACTGGTTGATGTTCAGACCTGTCACATGGCAACCGGTGAACTTGACCATCTCACGGGCCGGCCCGCCAACGCCACAGCCCACATCAAGAACCTTCATGCCACCCTTCAGTCCCATGTTGTGCGCAAGGTAGTGCTCGTGGCGGGCGATGGCGCGAGAGAACGCCTCGCCGTAAGCGAACCGGCAGAAGTGGAATGAGGCACCCCAGGCATACTCATAGAGGTCTGTTGCAAGGTTGTAATATCTGAACAAGGAAATTAGTTGGCAGTTCACGAGATAGCTTGAGAGCTAGTGGTTGTAGGTGAGCCTTACTGTCTGGTGAGACTCGCGTAGTCTGCTGTGCGAGCCTGCCTGATCTCGTCCGTCTCGTCTTCGGCGTTCTTGCCATCCCAGTGTTGGAAGTACTCATCGACAGCGACGGCATGCGCGGCGTTGTCCTTGCCCATCATGGACCGGATGCCACCTTGGGTCTTGCCGGAGCCTCCATGCAGGGCATGATCGAAGGCGTTCTTCTTAACCTGCTCGGCCGAGATCAGCTCTCTACTTGTCGTCATGGTGTTGTCTGAGGTCTGATACTGAAAGATGAGATGAGGAAGAAGTTCGTGGAATAGCTTGGTCGTCAGAGAAGGGCGAGCTCCAGTAGTTAAAGAAAAGACGACCCCTTTGTCTTCCAATCTCAAAAAAGTTCATCCATCACATTTCAGGGACCCCATTTGTACCTGCATGACCGAATAATCTAACGATTGAGGTGCTTGATTGGTTGGAGAATGCTCTGGACTGTTTGTGGTCGGACAGACAGGTTCGGAACACGAATACGAATGACTGTCAGGAAGCGTGGTACGTATATCTGCCGCAGGGGACTTTGGGATGTGCTCCCAAGGCCCCCTGTTACCAGCTTATCCAGTCGTAATCGTATTCGCCTGCCCCATATTAATCATCCATCGAGTCGAACCAACAACACCAGACGCTAGAACTATCCGAGAAGAAAAAAGGAAAAGAATCTAGAACTGACAAACTGCCAAGTTGAGAGGAATCCAGTGGATGCCATAAGCAGGTAAGACTGACAAGCCAGGGATGTTCGGGCGCAAGCTGCTCCATCTAGTCTTCCTGCCCCCCACCCGGCCTTCACCCGGTTGGAACGGCCAAATTTGACATCTGCGGCCGACCCGTGCCGCTGATGCGTAAGGCTCAAGAAAGCCAGGAAGCCTTGTTTCGCGGCAATTATTGGTACGGCTCAAACTCAGACTCGATAACATGTGGAACAAAGAGCACTCCTTACACGCCTAACCGGATCGCGTCGGATGACGTTATTCCCCTGCATTATTTTGACGACAATCCAATCTTGCGGAAGATCGTGGTCAACTTCATGCTGAACTTTGATGATGTTCTTGATCCTGAGAAACTCCAACAAGCCTTGGAAAGACTTGTAACAAGGGAGGATGGCTGGTGCAGACTTACAGCGCGCCTGAGGCTGAACGTAAGAACACTTTTCATTTTCAGTAGTATCCGTTTATGCCTGCAGAGCTACGTTTAGACTTACTTACTTGTTTTGTGACCAGGAAAAAAGGGAAGCCCGGTACCATGTGCCCAAACAATGCAGCGTCGCGATACCAGCTCTTGTCTTCTCCCACATTATCTACGACATGCGTGCGACTGAACACCCGATCGCGTGCCACTTGCCCAAGTCATCGACGTCCCCCTCTGTCGTGGCGGATCCAAACGTATTGCATCCGTTGACGCGTCCCACTGATGGCCCCAAGGAGCTTGCCGACTATCTCTACAAAGACCTGCGTCAACTGGGCCTTACTTTGTCTCATTCCACGATGCAGCGCTCGTCTCTATTACAAGGCCTCACACCCTAATCGATGGTTCGGGCCAAAAGGATCAAGCTTGGTCCTTGGCACTCCAGGTTAGAGATGATGAGATCCGGTTGTTAGGAGGGGTTGAAAATGATCCATTGGACAAGTTTGGTTTTCAACCTCATGATGTGTACAAGCGTGTGCAGCGTCTATTCAGGTCGTCCCTTTCCTTTCCAAATAGGCTGGAGAGTTATACGTCTTCCAGCTTACTCCAACTGCCGTCTACAGCTGTGGTCAAAAGGCAACGGAGCCTCATGGCTGGGAAACCGAGATCGCTAACTCTCCCGGCTAGCACAAGAAGCAGATGAAAACATGTCCGCCCACATGGCTAGAAGCGCGCAGCCAGGCTCGCCTGACCTGTTCAACAACGAATGGACAACACAGGGTGCATATGCCGGTGTTGTCGGCGACCCTGAATGGGCTTCCATCGGTCCTGAAAAGGTCCCCGGGCTCATTGCGCATTACCTGAAGCTCGATGCCGATAATAGAGCGAACCCGAGACCGTGTCTCCGACATCGTCAAAGACAAAACCACGTCGGAGAGGCTCACGCCGTGGTACCCGGTCTGGTGTAAGAGGCCCACTTTCAGCGACACCTACCTTCAGACATTCAACAGGCCCCACGTCCACCTCGTGGATACGGAGGGCCATGGAGTCGAGAGGGCAACCTCAAGTGGACTGGCAGTCCAAGGAGTTGAGTACAAACTCGATGTCCTTGTGCTCGCAACGGGATATGTATCGCCGTCGACGGCTGTAGATCCGGCTGCCCGGGCCGGAGTGGAGGTCTACGGACGTAAGGGGCGGCCGATGGCGGAGAAGTGGGAGACTCGAGGCCTGACTACTCTTCACGGCGTTGCATCGAACGGGTTTCCCAACTTATTCTGGATCGGTGCATCGCAAGGTCCGTCCGCCGCAAACCTGGGCCATGTCATAGACGCCCAGAGTCGGCACATTGCCCATATCATTGCGAAAGCGCACGACAGAGCAGACACTGTTGCTTCCAATCCCAGCACGTTCCGCACCTGCGTTATCGAAGCTAGCACTGATGCTGAAGACGCCTGGAGCCTGCGGGTCATGCAAGGTGCAACTCGTCTCGCGGTGACCTCGGTTTGCACGCCAGGATACTTGAACAACGAAGGGCAAGGGCTATGGATGACACTCGGCTTAGAAAAGGCACCCAGCCCCGACCGTATGGCGAAGGCGGTCCGAGCCGCTCCGTGGAGCGCGGGAATGCCCTATCTGCAAGAAATAGAGGCCTTCCAGGCTGAAGGTGAGCTGCGTGGATTCAAAGTCGCAACCAGATAAAGACATCGCCGCGTCGTAGGACTCTGCATTTTTGAAGTTGCGACAAAACAAAAAGTTCTGAATCATAAACCGATTTCATCTGCCGCCATCGCATGTTATGTCGAACGTTCAGAACACCGCCTTTTTGTTGATCCCCAGGCGAATTTTACAAATCTACAGAATGTGTTACATTTCGAGGCCAGATTTCGAGATACTTCGAACTTTACTAAGTGGTATGCTGCTCACGCCTTTTCGTAAAGTGCCAACGCTCTCAAAACTTCGTGTCAGACGCTAAAAGGTGGCCTACTTAGAACCCATGTCACATTTTGACGCCATGTCAGCGTCAAGCATTTCAACTCGCGCCCTTGTGATCCGACCAAACCAATTAAATAGAAGTTACAGATGTCTGTATCCTCTTACCTTGTTTCATGTTATCATGTCTACCAACAATCTGACTCAGAGCTAGGATGCAAAAGGATCGTTTGCTTGTCATTTGAACAGGGCATCAATACCCCGCGCCTTTCCATGATTGCAGCATTCATTTAATATCTCTCCGGCGGGAGACGCACGTTACATATTCAAAGAGGCTTCCTATTCCTTCCATCAGCTGTCCTAGTCTCGTTGACTATCTGAGATAATGATTCTCATCATTGGCGCCGGCATGGCCGGCGTAACCCTCGCACGCTACCTGCACTCCCACGACATCCCCTTCCGTATCTTCGACCAGCAAGCTCAGTTCAAAAACCAGGGCTTTGGTCTTACTCTCCGCTCAGACACCACCGCGAAGCTCCTTCCGCTCCTCGGCCTAGAGGAAGACGACTTTGCTACTCGTGTGGCTGTGGATCGCAAAAATGGCAAGACGAACACCTTCTTAGTCAACTTAATGACAGGCGAGAAATTTGCGGCGGCGAGCTTCAAAGAGGGGGCGAGTACGCGGGACTTCAGGACAAATAGAGAGAGGTTGAGAGGCGTTATCATGGGGGATGTTGCAGGGAGGGTGGAGTATGGATGCAAGCTGCGATCATTTAGTTCTACAACTTCCGGCGTGCGTGCGGAGTTTGAGAATGGGATGGTGGTTGAAGGTAGTGTCCTGGTCGCCGCTGATGGGGTGCACTCACTCATCCGCTTACGCCTTCTCCCGCATTGCGTCCCGCAGGACTGGGATGGTGTTATGGTGAATGGCGCATGCCGCTTCTCACTTGCAAAGTGGGATGCGAAGATTAGACCGCACATCGAGGACGCGGCGGTGTACCCCGGATTCGGGGATCAAAAGGTCCTCGCTCTCACCATTTATGACGCTAACTGGGACCCTGAGATCGGTTACGTCGATGTGTCTTGGGGTTTATCCAGAAGGAGAAAGGAAGGACACGATCCGCTGTTCGTGAGATACGAGGACCGGTCGTTCGACAAGGGGAGTGCGCCCGAGGCGTTCTGGGACGAGATTGAGGCGTTGCCGCCGAAGGACCTTGTGAAACCGTTCAGGACTGTCTACGAAGACGTACGAGCCAGAGGCGATAGGACAATTCAGCATCAGCTTGTCAGCCTGCTGATTCCGAAAGACGATCTGCTCGCCAAGCTCCGGTCGGACAAGGTTGTTTTCATTGGCGATGCGGTGCACGATTGGTCCAATCACGCAGGGACGGCAGCAAACGCGGCGATCCAGGATGCGCTGGCGTTAGGAGAGGTGCTGAATGGGAAGAGGGGACTGGAGGAGTACTACGAAGGAAGATATCCGAGCTGGTTGGGAAGTTACGAAAAGAACGGAGAGGATTTCCAGACGTTGCATCGGCCGATGAGTGAATGGAGGGCACTGCTAGATGCGCAGAAAGCTGGTCGCGATGACGTGGAGTTGAAGAAGGCTACTGCTCCTGCTGCTCAGCTATAGAATCAGATATGCATATGCCATTTGGAAGGCGCCAGTGCAATGTATCGGCTTAGATCGTCATATTTGCGTAGGTACTGGGAAAATGAGCGAGACGCGATGCGGCTATTCAGAAATGGTATAACCATTTTCTAATGTTGTGACGGCCGAAGAGCAAACTAAAAACAAAGTGCAAATGCACTTCCCATTCCAAAACCTTTCTGTGATCAAGATGCTATTGGAGTTCAGCCGATGATTGACCGCCATGAGGTGATTCTCCCAGATAAAGCGAATGCGCAAGCCAATTCGGGGTATGTTTTGGAAACGATATCCATGTCCCAGCATCATGAGAATGTACCTAGTGATGTGATTCCCTTTTCGCGGACTCGTTCGAGGTAGGTTGTGGTGATGTTGAAAGACAGGATGTGCTGGCAAGGAAATCAATCAGTAACGGTACCATGAGCAGATTCAGATATGGACTCACCAAATGTGTGTGTATATGTTGTTCATAGTGTGTCAAATCTTTCGTGTATGTTTTAAGAGGTACAGCGTATGTTCAAGAAGTTGTCTTGGCATGCTTCTGCTTTCTCGACGATGAATTGCAATCCGAACTGCGTCACCCTTCGTGTCAGTTGAATTTCTTTGAGGAGGGATGGAGATGGAACGTACTCAGTATCAGAGGCGTCACGCTTTCGCTTGGAAGGCTTGAACCCACCGCTTTTGTGGGCACCCTGCGACTTGAATGACGACGAATTTCTCTTCTTCTTGAAGATCTTGCTCCTCGGCTTGTAGGGAATTGGAGTGGCTTTCTTCTTAGGGCCAGTCTGCTGAGATTTGACGCCATTGTCCTTGGGAGTAGAAGCCTTCTTTGCGACAGGTGACGCTTGCTCCGTCTGGTGATGCTCATCCGAAACTCCTATCTTGTCCACATCGCTGTCTGTACCTCCCTCATCACCCGAATCAATGATGATGACGGGACTCTGTTGCCTCTGGGGCTGAGCAGGTCGAGCATGCTCTCCAAGATTGACATTGCCCTGGAGGTCCCAAATCCGCATGTTGTTAAAGAAGAACTCGCGATACTCTTCAGGGACGACGTCAGGCTTGTGAGAAAGCTCGATCGCTATGTTCCTTCCGATCGAGGGCGGTCCTTCCTTGGCCCACAGGTTCAGCTCCGCGGACGAGACTTCCATCTGCAGGATGAGGAGTCTGTAGATGCGCAGCAGGTCGATCTTCTCAACGTGAAAAGTAAGCTTGTCGAAGCAAAAGTCCTTGAGGGTCTGCTGGTCGGTGGGCAGGCGTGCCGCGCGGGCGTTGTGGTAGAGATTTTCGGCGGTGGTCTTGCAGGCGCGGAGACGGGCTTGGAGTCTGACTTCTGGGTTTGCGGAGACGAGACCGACGTCGAAGGTGTGAGATCGAGGTTTAGATTTACGCTTTTGCGCGGTTGAGGGAGGCATGTTGGCGGTGAGATCTGAGTTCTGTTGTGAGTGTGTTAGATGGCAGAGGGATTTCGGGGATATTGAGAGCAAGAAGACCAGACCTGTGGAGTGAAGCAAAGCAATTATGAAGGTGAGAAAATGAGTTGGGAATGTGTGAGAAAACCAGCAGATATCCGTGGCAAGTTGATAATTTGAACGGGCTGTGAAGGGCATGAGAGAGAAAGTAGAAGGCAGCGCACTTGATCGTATCTCCTTCCTGACTGAGTGGGAAGAGACGGGATGGCGAGAGATCAACAAAAAGTGAAGAGATATTTTCACTGCAGCCATATTTGGAAGGTGCAACTGGTAAGTATTCAGGCTGTGTTAATTGTTCCATGAACCTGTCTTGCTGTGTCAAGGGCGTTGGTATCTCCTTTTCCAGCCCTGCCATCCAAAGAAATCACCAATAAACCACCCAAATGCAGCACTTCAACCGCCCTTTCCTCTAAGTATCCTGACCACAGTACCCGCAACGTCACTCTGTAAGGTAGCCATCAAGTCCTAGAAACGTATGTTAGTTAAGCGCAGCCATATGGAATTGGAAAGCGAACCTCACCATCGATTGTTCCTTCTTCTTACATACGTTTGCCCTCCTTGTCAGCAATGTGTTACGACCCGTTATGCATGGATAACAGTTGACCAACCCCACTTGGGCGTCGGGCGGCTAGGACAGGACATTTGTACTGCAGGATCACAGGAACAACAGGGACTCACTCGGTAACAGAAGAACTATGGTCTAAGTCATATGATGATAAGATAACGATCATATTGGATCAATATGATCCAACACGACTTAGGGGCTAAACGATCATTCTGGATCGGAATGATCCAGATCGACCTAAGGTATAAAGGAATATGTTCAGAATTAGACTTATATATAGTATGACCCTGAGCCTAGCTTATGGTCAGACTTCTATAGCTCTTCAGCAATCAACTTAGTATTTATCCTCACGGATACTCTCAGCTTACCTTCACTGCGAATTACTTATTAAGTCTAAGACTGATCACCTTAGCCTCTGAAGACCCGATCTACTATCAGCCTACGACCTACGACCCAGACCACGACCCCAGTGTACTGTTAGAACGTATCAATCCCCAGCTTCTGTTAGCAGACCCTACTGTCGGATAGCTGACCGTAACACAATGGTATGCAGGAGCAAGCGTCGGACCCTGCCGCTCAGGTCGTCCTTCTCTGAGATCGCACAATTGCAAAACCACTTGAGCTCGTGGGTAAGGAGTATCCCAGGGTAGACATAGAACAGGGTGCTCATGCGCTCGAAGGGGACGTTCTCCTTCATCCAAATGTCCAGCTCGCGTGTGCTGATGTTATGGTAGAGCATCACACTCTTGTAGGCAGCAACGAGCTGTCTCTTGCTGTAATTATTGATACAGGCATCGAAGCGATAGTCGGTCAGGGTCTTCTGGTCAGTGGGAACCTGGTTGATGATGATGCTCTTGAGGAGAATGTTGGCGGTGGTTCGGGATGGCTGGTCCACACAACGCTTAAAATGCTGCGCCCACAAACCATCAATTACGGGACCATACTGACAAGTGGAGGTGCAGATGAAAGATATGGAGCACATGTTGCACTTTCGCATGGTGTTCTGGCCAGAGATGATGCACTGGCCTTTAGTTGACTGGTCCTGAGGCGCTGGCTGGTCCTTAGGCTCTGCGTCCGAGAGAGGGTCATTGCCGGAATTGCCGTTGTTGTTGGCCATTGTGTTGCTGTCTGCTGTGTTTCTCAAACGTGTGTGTTGTGACCCTAAAGGTTTCTTTCCTTTCATTGAGAGGTGGAAAGGCATGCTTATGAACGGGAGGAAATTTGAGATGAGAAGTTTTGCGACAGGGCTTTTCAAGACTCAAACCTTTGTATTTACCGAGGTGAGTTTGGCGGGTATTGCCTGAGGGGGAAACTCAAGGTGACTTCTCAGGTGAAGGTGAAAGTCGAAGTCAGCAGGTGATACTGAGCTAGGAAGGAAGTCTGGGTTGATCTTTCCTTCTGGGCTGTGGTAGGGCAGATGACGTAGCAGAAGGGTCCCAAGTTGGCTAGGTACTTCCATCGAGGGACAAGGGCTTCCAGTCACAAAAGAATGGGTCCTTTTGTAATGAAATTACTGTCACTGCGATTTCTGTCTACCCAAGCAATATTACCAATGCGATGTTCACACTTGAGGCAGCTCAGAGCCTCAGAAGGCCTGCTTCCAAAGCCCAGCCCAAAGCCCACATGAAGGAGCCACCTCTCTTGTTCCGCCTCCCTATTACTGATGTCTCCATGTATCAAAGCCTATCGCTTTCCGCCTCAAAGTGCCAATCAAACAGTGCTGAAAGCGCAAGGCTGCTGAAATACGGCTAGAAATATTCATTAGTAAAGCAGGTAACTCGAATGGCAGTTTTGTCCACCTTCATGCTCCCTAGGTCTCAGGTCCAGCAGCCGGTCTCTCGAAGACGACCCTGTTCTCCGCGAACCAGTCACGGATTTCAGGACTGAAATCCTGTGGTCTAGCGTGGATCTTGTCGCCAATGGACTCGTACAGCGTGTCCTCCAGCATCCAGACATTGAGTTCCTCGGAGGTCACACTCTGGTTCTTGATGAGGTCATGGTAGAGGGTGAAGAGCTTGACACGGTCGGAGGGCTCGGGGCAGCGACTGAAGCCGTAGTCCTCCCTGGCTTGAGGATGAGTGAGCATCCTGCCGCGGGTCACGTCCTCGACGATGATGTCGGCGGTTGTCTCGGAGCGGTTGTCGCAGAGGCGAACGTGCGCGGTCATCTCCTCGTGAGGCTTGTCGGCAAGGCCAAGGCGCATGTACTTCTCGCAGGACCTGCAGCAGACCCAGTCCTGGCCGCATTTGCTACACTTGCGAGACGTAGGGAGCCTCTTGCAGACGATGCAGATGCCCCAGGTGCCCAAGGGGTCCGGCGACTTGTAGCGTTCTGCCTCGCAGTCAGGCATCGTCCAAGCCTCGCACGTGCCCGCGCTCCGGATGGCGTCGATCAATCTGAAGAAGTGGTGGGCACCAGGAGGGTGGAATATGAGGGGGTACTCGCCCTCGGGAAGAGACTCGCGGTTGGGAGAAGACTGGCGGCCGAGAGGAGACTCGTTGTCGGGAGGAGAGGCCGACATTGCTGGATGTAAATCGTGTTTGGTTTCTCGAGTTTGGTGGGATTCAGGGCAGATTGTTGAATGATCTCTTGCGTTTGTGGGGCAGAACTTGGAAAGCTTGATAGACGGACGTCTAAACTGAGGGAGAATCTGGAAATCAGTCGAACATGGAAATCCAGGCTGGCCATAATAAGGTGAAGTCAAAAAGGTGGGGCTCAAATGGTTCAGTAGAACACGCGAAGTTGTGGAAGTAGGAAGGAACGCACCCGCAGGAAGAAGGTACGGGTAGGAAGGAAGGTGCGGGCAGGCCAAGTTGAAAGCGCATTTTCTTAGTAGCACTTGCACTGTCTCGAGCAATCAAACGTTGAATATGGGCCATGCAGAGGTCTGTCAAAAGAAGAGACTCCATGATATAAGACAATTACTGGCACTTTAGGTTGATGCTTAGAACATGAACATCTTGAATCGACTGCCAGCTTCAGCTAAACTCAATCTATTATGAAGCTAGGAAAGGCGGATCATTCATTCCGCAAATATCCGCAAACTATGCATTTTGTCCGAAGCCTTCCTTGTATTGGTCCGTCCATGGCCCAATCCATTCCTCTTGATGTTCCAAAACTCCTAAATCTGTCTCTGGGAAACCCAAGCCACTTCGCAAGGCCGGAATGTCAACTTCAAAGCGCAACGACTGTAACTGAAAATGCAGGATCTGTCTTGTTAGTAAATGATGTCAAGTTGTGGGAATCGAATAGGGTCGCTCACTAAGAGACCTTGCTTGGTCCAATGCTCTTTCTCGTTGGCCAATGCTGACTTCTGCTTCCTGATAGATGGCACTCTTCTCTTCCAGGCTCGTCATGATGTACTTTCTTTCTCTGAGAGAAAGTGACATCATTCAGATGAATCATATTCTCTCCATTACGCGCCGAAATCTCTCTTGGATGGAAATGATGTCCTGGAAAACCGCCTGCGTGGTCTTATTAAGTCCAAAAGTCCAGATGTTAGTTCCCTTGAACCATCTGACGTCCTCGAGACTCATAAGCTTCGGACAGGTGTAAACGAGCATAGCAATGCGCTCAAACAGCTTCTTCTCCGCCACCCAGATGTCCATCTCGCGGGGTGTGACGTCCGCCTTGCGAATAATCGTCGTGTAGATTTCGAGAAGCTTCCTCCGGTCGGTAATCTTGTACAGCCAGTTGAATTTGAAGTCATCGATGGTTTGCACATCTTTTGGAATCCTGTTGCTCAGGACGTCCTTGTAGAAAGTGTCGGCGGTTGTGTCGGCAACACACATGTCGAAGTGATCGGAGTTAACGTCGTCGATAACTGCGATTTGCTGACAGTTCATGCTGCAAATCAGGATGTCGTTGCAGATAGCGCACTTTCTCGCGGTAGCTTCGTCGCAAATAATGCACTCATCATCAACGACTTCGACTTCGTCTTCACTATCCACCACATAGTCGCCCATTTCAGACATCCTGAGTTTCCGTACTTGTGATAGATAGGTAAGGATAGGGTATTTGGCTTAAGGGGCGACTACCTTGGTTGAATGTGAAAGTCGAGAATGGAGGATGGTCTAGTGTAGAGAGGAGGAAGAAGAATGGCTTTGGGGGAGAAGTTCGATATTTATAGACGGAGAGTGGGGAGTGGAAGAGGAATAAAGAGGCAATGGAAGGAAGCTGAGGTTTGCGGTTGCTTCTTGCCTTTGAGTATTCTTATCTCAATGGCAAGCAAGATCCGCAGTCTACAATTAGCTTATGGGAAGGAATGAGATACCTGGTCGCAGTTACCCTCCCCGTTCTTTCAAAGTCTGTTCCAGCCAGGCAGAATTAAAGATATTCTTGAATCGCCAGCCGCAGGCGCGGGACCTTAACCAAACATACTACGTGTCTTCGTCATTTTGATTGCCATTGACTTTTACTATGCCTTATCTGGCTCATTCTATCTGCCGTGCTGATTATCCCCATAATATTCACACACCAGGCGTCCCGCCCGTGATGCCGTCTCAACGGTTCTTAATCCACTCTTCCAACTCCATCTCGCTGTCCAGCTTCTGCCGCGCAATCACAAACTCAACCGTAGCCCGCACCGTCGAACTAAGCTCGCTCTCCCACAGCGTTGTCTCCTTGAACCACTGCAGGTCCCAATAGCCATGCGTCTTCGGGTACGACTGGCACAGCACCGCAATGCGCTCAAACAGCTTACCTTCCTTCCTCCAGAGATGAATCTCGCATGCGCTGACGTCCATATGGTCGATCACCTGTCCATAAAATCGCAGCAGGCAGTCCCTGTTGGTGGGGCCACGAATTTCGAAGATGTCGAAGCGGTAGTCCTCGATCACGCGCTGGTACATCTCTGGGAAGTTTTCCGGACAGTACGGAAGCCATTCCGCGGCGGCAAAGATGTAGAGCAGGCTGGCAGTCGTCTTGGGGTTGAGGACGCACTCCTTGAAGTGGTCGGCGCATGAAGCCAACGGACCTGCGAAGTGACCGCCGACAAGCACGAAGTTCTTTTGGCAGCGCAGGCTGCAGATCCAGAAGTCGTTGCAGAGGGCGCACTTTCGGGAGGTACGCTTCTTCCCGCAGACGGTGCAAAGGCCCTTGACCTGTTCCTGCTCTGTGACCTTATTGTTGGCGGCGGCGGTGTTGTCGGGACTGGACTTCTGCGAACGGCCTTCGGTATGGGAGCTGCGGTCGTCCGACTTGTCGATGACTGTATCCTTCAACCGCTGTCGGCCGCTCCAGCGATTGAAATCCTGTTCGATTCTGGCGGTCCAATCAGCGTGCTCACGACGGTCTTTCTCTTCAGAACCAAGGGTGTCTTCGTCCTTGGTTTCGTTGGCAGGACTGGTGTTCAGCGCAAGACCCTCAAGATCAGAGCTACAATCGTCTGGCTTCTTGGTTTCTGTCTGTCCCAACCGCCTTTTAGCGATCGTCATATTCATGTCCCTTTGGAGGCACTCGGCGAATTCCTGGACGACGCTTAACCCTTCGAGGTCGGTGAGATCATCATCTGACGAGTACGAGCCAATAGAATCTGAGGCATAGTATTCTTCTCGATCGTAGCCGCTCCATCTGTTTTTGATTTCCGGCATCTTGGGGCTGGTTGGTGTGCTCAACAGGGTGGCAAGCAGTGTTTGGAAAGAAGGGGAGAACCCGAAAGTATGTTGGCCGTGTAGGATAAGAAAGGCGAGGGGAAGGTAGGAGGAATGGTTTAGTATTTATAGTAGTCGCCAGTCACAGTGACGTTGAATGGGTTTAGAGGGGTGATTTACTCTAAAGTGATCCTATTCACTGTGAGAAGAGCATAGGTATGGTGGTTGAGTCGCTCCAGAAGACATGGGACGATAGCAAGGAATGACAGAGACGTATGATGTAGACATCGTCCTTTAGAAAGCTAGGTATGCTAGCGAGTTCTCTGTTCGTACTACAACCGATTCACTGATACCCATGTCCACCATGTAATCAAGCAAGACCACGAAGACTATGACCAAGCAGACCTGGCACGAGGTTCACCACTTCCCCCGACCACACGTCCCAAGAACAGAACCCGAATCTACTTCTCCTGCGCCATAGCAGCCTTCTTCCGCGCAACCTTGGCCGCAACCTGCTGCGCCTTGATCTCCTCCGCGAAGCCCGCCAGGTTCGCGCCGGGCATGTACATAATCGGCGCGAAGGGCATGCCGCCCGGGCCCGTGAGGTGGTGGACACTGGCCTCGCCGCTGTCGGCGACTTTGAACAGACCGTCGCTCATCAGCTTGACCTGCTCGAGGAAGTCGGCCTTGGTGTTGATGGGCTTGGCGCCGGCCGCGTCCATGTAGGCGCGCGTCTCGGAGTTGGCGTAGGTGAGGTCCCAGATGTAGCGGTTGCGGGTGAGCCTGTCCTCGGTGTCACTTCGCATCATATCAAGGAAGGTAATGTAGGTAGGTACCAGCGGAAAGTATCCTTGAGCCGATTCATCTCCTCCGGACTACCCCCGCCCGCCTCCAGCGCAGCACGGAGCTTGTCCTGCACATTCTTCAACAGCACAGCCTTTCACTCGCCCAGCCAGGCGTGCACCTCGCCCGAGGTGACGCTGAGCGCAGTGACCATGAGGTGGCGATACACATCCAGCAGCTGGAAACCGTCCGCCTGGGTGACGGTGCGGTTGAAGCCGAAGTCCGAGACGGTCTGCGGGTGGACCGGGACGATGCCGGTGACGACGTAGGCCTTGAGGATGTCGGCGGTGTTCATGTTCGCGAAGTCGATGCACTTGAGCACCGGGCAGGAGGCGGCGGGGTCGGGCTTGGTGGCGGCGCGCTTCTGCTGCTCGTGGGCTTCGACTTCGGCGATGAGCGCGTCGCCCATGGAGCAGAGGGAGTCGAGGCCGGCGTCGTGCTCGGCTTGCCACTCGGCGGCGGCCTCGGCGTAGAGGGCCTCGTCGGACTTGGGGATGGAAGACATGGTGAGTTGACGGGGTGGTCTGGGTGGTGTGTTAGTTGCTGGTTGGTTGTGGTGGATGGGGGTGCTTACTTTTTGGAAGAGGTTGGAAGTGGAAAAGGGGTGAACGTTGGTGAGCGATGGAGGAAACGAACTCGGAAGTAGTTGAGGAGAGAGGGAGAAGAAGAGGAAGAGGGGTTGAGGGAGGTGTCGTGGAAAAGTAGACAGAGCCGTGAACGCGTCTGTGCCGGTGGTGGTGGGGCGAGAGTGCAGGTGAGTGCGGCATCTTGCAGCCTCGAGCAATTTAGTCAATGCGCGTTTGCAAACAGCAACGATCGAGGCGGTCAGGAGATGGAGACACCTCACTTTCGGGGAAGCCTGGCAGCCGCGGCTGCCCTTGATTTAAAATCTCAGTTCTTGAGGCCTTGCGATGTTTGCCTGGATAAGAGGCAGCCTTGGTGCAGGTTGACAGGCGGGGGGATGAAAAGAGCTTTTTTACTAGTTACAGGCATGGCTTTGTCACAGGGACAGATAGTTTTATCGGTGTCATTTCATTGGTATTTTCGACCCTCTTATTATCAGGTCATCATCGGATAAGAAGCCCTTCATGAGACCATGATAACCCAGCCATATACCAGCTCCAGCCACGGAAACCTGTACCCTAGCCAGTTTGATATTCCGAACTCCAACCCGTCCGTAAAATGGTTTAAAACCCCATTGCATTCTCGAAACCAGACAGCAGATGCTTCACATGCATGTCCCTCAGTGAGAGACAATAGCAGCGAGAACACCAGCCGCAAACGAGACTCCAACAATAGCCGAGCCAAGAGTAACCCAGCATCCAGCCTCTTTCATCTACTCCAACACACGTAAGCCAACTGCCTCCCCCATCTTCACATCAAGGGCTCACTAACCTTCTCCTTCCGCTGCTCCTCCGCCTTGCGCTTCTCATTCTTCTCCTGCGCCTCAAGGTACTCCTCCTCCGCCGAAGCGATCGCCTCCGCATACGTCTGGTCAGTGCGCACAATACTCATCACGCCATCCTCATCCGCGCGCATCGTCTTAACCTCGTCGGGCGGTCCCTGGTCGCTGTAGGAGTAGAACATCATGACCTTGTTGTCGACGTGCGGGCGCGTCAGGATGTAGGCAATGTACTCGCCCTTCTCGGCCCGCGCGTCCATATCCTCGCCCATGAGCTTGTCCCAGCCGGCCACCTCCTTGGACACCTCCGCGAGCTGCGAGCCCGCGGGCGCGGCCATGAAGGCCGCTTCGACGGCGGCTTTGTCGCCGTCGCTGTTGAGGTCGTCGAAGATGTGCTTGTGCGCGCCGAACCAGGTGAGCGCGGCGGCGAGGTCGGGCTGCGTGGTGGGGGCGCCGGCGTGCTTCTTGTGGAGGCTGTTGAGGCGGGCGAGCATGGTGTCCTTCTCGATCCACTTCTGGATGTCGGCGGGGTCGAGGGACAGGGTGTCGACGAGGATGCGGTAGAGGGCGAGCAGAGCGAACTTGTCCTTGACCTGGTACGCGCGGTCGAAGCGGAAGGCCTGGGCCATGATGGGGTCGAGGGGGGGCATGTCGCCGTCGATGAAGGCGCGGAGGGCCTCGGCAGGGGTGGACGAAGAGGCAGACTGTTTGTGACCACGCTCCTTGGCGATGCACTTCAGCTCCTCGTCGGCGACCTCCTGGACCTTGTTGCGGATGTCGGCGACGCACTCCTCGGCGTCGAAGTTGACCTTGACCATCTTGTCGGAATGGCAATCGCTGTCTGGTCAGATGTGTTAGATGAGTAGATGAGACGGTAAGGGTAAACTTACCGGATCGCGATCGAGTAGTTTGCTTTTCGGAGAGATGACCTGTGTTGTGGATGGTGTTGGTAGGTGGAAGATTGAGATTGTGGGCGACGGTCTGCTAGAAACGCAGGAGGGAAGGAGCTCAGCTGCCGAATCTCCCCTTTGACGAGGCTTCACATGGCAACGATGTTGGCGGTCCGTCGAAAGCTCAGTCGATCAGGTTGAGGGAGACAAACGGCAAGCGGCCGAGCGGCCATGCACAAGGATGCATTGTTTGTCGGGGCCGAGATGCTGAACATCATGCCCAATTGAGAAAGGGTGCAAACGAAAAAGTGGCCCAGTGGATAGAGTGCTTGCGGGATGCTTCTCGCCCTAGATGAAATGGAAATGAACCAATACCTGCAGTCATTTAACGTAGTTCCTTGTTAATTTTCATGCCTATCTCTTTGTATTGCTCGTGTTTGCGGTGTAGCTGTTCTCCTGATTCTCTTCCCCCCTCATGTCCGTGATTAAGTGACGTCGTCAAGCCATGCTGCATCCCGTGCCTAGTCACGGGTGGCCTCCCATCCCAGCCACTGGTCTCATGTACACTCCTTGAAATTCTTGAATCGGAGTAGCTTTTCTACTCTGACGAATGGTGGGTACGGCCGACGGCAGTCACAGTGACAGCAGCAGGAACCGGGCGACGGCGATAGGCGACGACGACAGTATGGAAACAGCTCAAGCGTCCATGAGTCTGACCTGATTCAGCAGCTTCTTGAATCTCTGCTCCAGATCAGGGGTGGACCAGAGCGAGCGAATCTCGCCCTCCGCATCCTCGTGGTCCCAGATCCACTGATTATCGTTGGCGAAGGCGACGAGACTGGCGGGAACCTTCTTGTTGCTGGCCAGGGCCGCCTTCACCTGTAGACCCAAGCTCTTCTGGCCCTCTTTCATCCACTTGTGCACAGTCATCTCGGAGATGCCACAAGTCTTGGTAAGCTGGCCGTAGGTCTTTAGCAGCTTGAGGCGCTCGAATTCGAAGTGGCAGCAGCGGAAGCCGTAGTCGGTCAGCGTTTGCGGGTCGGTGGGGTCCCGGTTGGCGGCAACATCCTTGAAGAGGATCTCCGTTGTGGTGCCCGCCAGGGACACCGGTTTGTCGCTTCCATTGGTATTACCGGCAGGGTCGGACGAGGTGTTGCTGTAAACCAAGTCTGCGAGCTCCTTCACCTGGGCGGCGACATTCAGCTTGCCAGTCTCAATTGCTCCCTTGACGCTTGGATCGTTGAGAATGGTCTGGGTCATCATCTCTTCGTATCGCTTTCGGTCTGGGCATCGGCTCTTCATGTAAGCGTCGATCTCGGAAAACGACATGGACTTTGTAGTCTGGGTGCCGGCAGCAGTTGTTGCGCCAGTGGGGTCAAAGCCGAAGACGCGTTGGTTGAGGACGAGCCAGGAGTAGCAGTGCGCGGCCGTCCTGTTGTTCTTGCTGCGCAGCTCACGCTTGAGATGGCCGATGAAGTTCGGGATGGTGTCGGAGCGCCACTGGTGGAGAGTCTGAGGGGTGATACCGTTGGACTTGAAGAGGATGTCGTACATGTTGTAGAGAGGGACGACATCGGTCAGCGAGCGGCAACGGGCGAAGCCGTAGACGTCGAGGGTCTCTTGATCCTTGGGGAGCTCATCTCGAGCATTGGCAGCGAAGAGGAGCTCCGCGGGGGTGGGTTTGGTCTCCATGATGATTGACCTGCGATGGTCAGTTACTAGGCAGTTCAAGTTGGAAGTTCATCCTACCTTTCGTCGTGGTGGTGTTGTGAGAAGTTTGTATGGGCGGTGCGTGGAAGAGAAAGAGGGTTTAGCTTCCGCTAGGAATGGCAAAAAGTCAGAGGTGAGGTTTGCCTTCCCTTCTTCCTTCATAAATATCAGAGCAGGCAAGAGGTATCCAGCTACCTAGGTTTCTGCCTCCCAAATCCAGGTAGGGCAGGTAGCTTGCTTATGTCATTGATGTTCCAAAGGCCGTCCTGTCTTTCTCGGGTTTCCCGCTTTCCGTGCTTGTCTTTATTTCCCCCTTGTCCTTGAGTTTAGGTTGTTGTCAATTTATTTTCCCGTTCTCATTTACAATCCTCATCGTCATCCACCATCTCATCCCCGTCTCTTTACCCGGATCCTTCCCCGTGCGTTCTGTGGTCCTCGTTTCTGTCTTCCGTCTCCCGTCTCCCGTACCCCCCATCTTCATCCCCAGCCCTTCACCCCATCTCCGATTTTCTTCCTCTGTCTTTTCCATCCCTCCTGTTACTGTTATCCTCCTTAGTATTTGTCCATTCTTCGAAATATGCATTAAACATCGCGAATTACTTAGCCATCTTACGAATAATAAGTAGCAATACACCTCTTAGTTAAGCTTTGCATCATCATATTCAACGAAGCCTTCCATTAGTGACCATCGATATGCAAAATATTCGCTCTGAACAGCCCTCTTCCGACCATTACTCAGTTAAAAGCTACTACTCTGCCTTCATTACCAAGTTTACTTCCTCGTCAAAATTGCGTGTTGTCAACAAAGACGCTGCATCCTACACAGTTGATACCTAAGAGTTCATAAAGCAACGAATCCGGATCAACACCAGGGTAAAGTAATCTAATCCCCTCGAAACCTTTTTCGAAATGTGATAATTCAACAAACGACATTCGGCATGCTTTGGCGAGGAATTTCACGATGCGCGTCTCTCACAAACGGCCATCATTGAAAGTGGGTCCATCCCGCTATCGTCATTGGCCAGCGCCCGGACCTTCACCCCCAGCCACCGTCGTGGCGCCATCCCTGTTCCCTGAGTCAAAGGACCTACCACCTACCTTCGTCCCCCCCTCAAACATCGCCCGGGACCTCATCCAATTGGCAAACCCCGTCACACAAACACACCCAACAGCGAGCAAGGAAGATGCCGCCGAACGACACCACCCAGGAAGACGTCGCCCAGCAGCGGCCGCTCTTGGCCGACCCTCACGAGGAGTACGGCGCCACCGAGGGCGGCCCGGACCGCGCCGTCCTGCCCCCCGAAGTCATCGCCGACGAGCGCGGCGCCGGCACCTTCACCCGCAACCTGGGCGCCGTCGAGGCCTTCGCCATCGTCATCAGCATCGTCATCGGCAGCGGCGTCTTCACCTCCCCGGGCTCCATTGACACCAACGTCCCCTCCCCCGGCGCCGCCCTCGTCGTCTGGCTCGTCGGTGGCGTCCTCGCCTGGACGGGTGCCGCCT